TCTTGTAATGCTTTCCTTGTATCCTTGGAAAGACGCAACAGCTCGTATAGGGTTATCCTAGCCGGGATATTGGCCAACTGCGCCATGATGTCAAAATAGGGTGGAGAGCTTGCATTTCCCGGTTTGTCTCTCCCAATCGGATGATTGAATCGAGACTGCCTCGGGTTTTGGGCTTCCTGACGTAAATGCTCTTTCCCCTTCTCCTTCTGCTGGACTTTCTCCGTAGTTACAGGCATTGGGGGAGTTGCTGCAATTCCCAGTTCCGCCAATGTCTTGGAAGGAGCGGTTTTGGTGCCTAATTGCTCGGAAGCATCCGGGTACTTGTAGCGATACTCATTCCCACTTCGGGTTGCAAAGGCCTCCTGTTCATCTTCAGAAAGCGGGAAGGCGGGGATTTCTTCGTCATCTTCTCCTGGAATAGCAGAAGCTCCATAACATGACTTACCTTTTCTTTTTGACTTTTTCTTGGAAGAGGTTCCAGTCCATTGTTCATCTCCAACCAAATCTGGATGAACCCAAAGAATCTCACCATTCGGGGCTGTGTGCGGCACAAGTCCTTTCTGGCGCTGCTTGTGAGGATCATCGTTCACCGTCTTCACTGCTGCATTTATCACTGGTTCATGTTGGAACCAGTTCAAGGGAACAGAGCCGAAGCTAATCAACATTGCATTCACACCCACTTTCTTCTCCTTGGGTTGCTTCATAGTGATGACCCCAACATCGATTAGAGCTTGGATCTTATCCTTAAGGGCATAACACGCCTTGGTAGGATGGTGCACCGCTCTATGAAATGCGCAGTATTTTGGATCATTGACTCTCTTGGCATCTTCCTGATCCTGGATTGGAGGCAATTTGATCTTGTTGTTCTCAATGAGGTACTTGAAGATACCGGGAACTTCATCCTCTTTGAACGAATAGACTTTTGGAAACTTCGGCTCCGAGGCTTTTGGCTTCTGGGTCTGCTGTTGCCACCTTGATTGTTGAGGCGCCTTTTGCTGCTGCTGTTACGGTTGCGCTTGCACTTCGAACGTTTGATTCGCGTCCACGGCATTTGCATGTGCTTTTCCTTTACCCCTAGGGACAAAATTTGGTTGCGGAGCATTATTAGCTATTTGACCCCTTTCCGCCTTCTTCCTTTTAAGGAATCGCTCGGCTCGTTCTCCTCGCACTTTCAAGTCCTTCCAGGTCTTTGGTGGCGCCATTCCCATAGCTTCGAGGATGTCCAATGAAAGATTATTGTGACAAGTCTCGAGGATAAAATCTTCACTGACCGGATCCCTGCAGTTCATTGCTTTATTTCGCAACCTCTTCACAAAATTTTCGACCGTCTCACCATTCTTCTGCTTCTCATCGAATAGTGTACCGATTGAGATTTCGGTGTCGTCATCGAAGAAGTTTGTCAGAAACATATCTTCCATGTCGTCCCAACTGCTGATACTCCCGGGCTTGAGACGGCGATACCAGTCGAAGGCTGCTCCGCGAAGAGTGCCGACGAATGACCGCACCATAAGAGGTTCATTCCCAGAAATGATTCCTAAATGAGACTTAAAATATATTAAGTGTTGGGTAGGGGAACCCTTTCCATCAAACGGCGTAAAGTTGATTAAATTAAACTTTGCCGGATACGGAATTGATTCCCACTCCCTTGGGTATGGACATGGTATGCCGGACCTTTTCACTTCTTGAGCATTCATCAACGCGTTGATTTTGCTCTCCAAGTCCTTCATCTTCTTGTCTTTCTGCTTAGTCAGGGCCTCTTCAAGCATCTTGCTTATTTGTTCGGCGCTGATAATAAGTGATTCGTAGGGCTGTCCCGCACTAGACGCCGTGTCATCGGATGCTATAGCCGAGTAGGAGTCTGAACCAGCATCTGACGCCTCCTCTTCCGAAGGAAGTCCCTTTTGCATCCTTTGGTAATTCTTTCGCCTATTGATCCCTGACCGCAATCGAGTCATGCGTTGGGCTGCTTCGGCAAGTTGATCTGAGCTAGAGTGTCGTGTCGATTTCCCTCTGCCGGTCATATTAGCAGACACCTCTAGGAACTCGTCCTCTTGGCGAACAGGCTTCTTCCTACAGAAACGCCTTGGCTTGGTCTCGGACGTTCCGATGGAAATTCTTTCAAACACCGAAACTCTCTTTGGGGTTTTAGAACAGCAGCATTCTGACAACACCGCCTTGATGATGTTGGCACACGGACAGTGAGACTCCGTGTCTTGAGCGCATCTCTTTCGAGACTTACTCGCACCCCCAGCTCTATAGTATAACTCATCAGTTTGATAACTGGAGCAACCCATAGAGTGTTGGCATGACTTCCCAAGTATAACACAATCATCATCAGACGAATGTGTTTCCCTCTGGGGATATGACGCTTTATTAGCGTTTTCAAAAGTCGCACATTCAAGTTTACGCCTCTGCGAGCGTGAAAACCTGTCGGGCTCTTGAACTTCGACCCGCAATCCAATGCGGTCGGTAATTGGGGCTTTCCCTCTGCTATTTTTCTTAGGGGGATTGGTACGACCCCCAGTCTGGACTATGGCTTGGGGACCTTTCAGCGGTCCCAATCGCTCCTTAACAGGTGCTTTGCCTCGGTTCTCCGGTAAAGGACCGAGACGACCTTTCAAAAGAACCCTGGATCTTGAGGGACCTACGTTCTTACCTGGCTCCGCCGGAGGTACGGGGACAGGGGACACTGGATCTGAATTTGCTGAAGGTTGGACGGTATTTCCGTCCACTCTTGTCTTAGGCGCCGGCTTTGCCTTTGGCACCCACACCTGCTTGTGTCTTGACGGATTCTTGACAATCTCTTCTTTCTGCATCTCTTCCGCTTTCTGCAGAAGGACTCGGGCATGCGCAAGCAATGCGCGGCGTTTCTTGATTCGCTCTTCGAGGGTTGAGCGAGTCCTCGTGACACGAACCCATTTGTTCGTTTCTGCCTTGGAGGAGGAGTTGGTTATGCGCAGTTGTTGCTCTTGGCGCTGTCTGGACTTTAGATCCTCATTGTAGCGGATCCCGTCCATCGATTCTGCGGCCTTGGCCAATTGTCGTGCAAGGCGTTGACGCCGTCTTTGGCGCGCTCTCTTCGACAAAGTTGGAGCAACTTCAGCAGTCGCCTTTGTGGCGGGAGGGAGATCTGGATCTGCAGCCTCGACCTCTTTGGATGCCGCCGGGATATCACGGGGCACGGGTGCAACAGCGGCGATGGGATCTTGGATCTTAGAGCCGAAGGTCCCGCGAATGTCTTTGGAAGATGAGGTCTTCCTGCGCCTGTTTGGAGAGGCGGATCTGGAGGAGGAGGAAGAGAGGTACTCTTCAAACTTTTGTTGATCGAACTCGTATTCGATCTCTTCGTTCACCCGGATCTTGAATGCCGGTTGCGTCACGACGGCCTCGGCAATGAGGCCGTTGGCTCCCACTGTGGTCGCCAGCTTGTTTTCGTCAAAAGTTACATTCATCATTGATTTCATTAAAACTTCAAACGTTACAAATGAATTCAAATAATGAAAATAAAAATTACAACTTTCTTGAAAATAAACACAAGATCCGTTTATCGTCTCTTGCTTGCGTGGGTCTTTAGCCTGTGACGGGGACGTCGATATCCGTGGACTACCTGGCAATCAGATCTGATCCAGAAAAATCGGGCAGAGCTTCGTCGATCCGCGAGGAGATCTAGAAACTTGAAGCGCCTATCTTGGATAAAGCGAGATATTTGCTCTTCTTAGGATTACCGACGAGGGGTAATGCTAAGGAACGGATGCGGGTGAGGTAGATCTGATGAAGAACTCTCTTGTGTTGAAGTGCTCGATCACTCTTCACTCCAGCAGGGCTTCGCCAATTCTCTAAAAATCCAGATCCTAAAAAAGTAAGGCATAAGGCTTCTATTTATAGGAAACACCCCTGGGGTGTCCCCAAAAATCTAGGACACCCCTAGGACGTTCCCAAAAATCTAGGACACCCCTGGGGCGTCCCCAAAAATCTAGGACACCCCTGGGGCGTCCCTAAAAATCTAGGACACCCCTGGGGCGTCCCCAAAAATCTAGGACCCCCCTGGGGCGTCCCCAAAAATCTAACGACCCTCGAGTCCCCAACATTTGCTACTAACAATTTATCACCAACAAGGATTGCAGTTGAGGCTGTTGACCCAACATCTTTGTTCTGAGTCGTCTCAGATTTTAGAAACTCTGAATCTGTGTGACTGTATGCCTCAGCTACGGAAGAAGAGAATATTAGTGCATCATGGTTAAAGATTTCATCCCATTACACAAATGTTCAATTTAGAAATTGGGTTTTATTTTGGTCAAATTGGTCAAAGTAAATCCCATAACCGAACCAATTCAGCCTCAACTAAAAGCCAGCGCATCCATCCAGTACATGCGGTTTCTTAAGGAAATCGATATGCATACCTTAAATTACAAATGTCATGAAAACTTTATTCATGAGAGTGCCTACAATAACAAACATTGACATAATATTTGATTTTTTTTAATTCCTTTTTTGGGATCAACAATCCTGGATGCTTTGAATAAAAAATATGTATGCTAATATTGTCTGCAAGGGCGAGCCTTGATGTAGTGATAATATTGTTCTATTAAGACCTGGATCTCACGGTTTCAAGCTGTTGGAACAGCATCTTCACAATATACAACATGCATGTGACCTCCTCAGAACCCATAATGGCAAGAGGCTCTTGAACTGGGTTGTCTAATAGTATATTGTTTACTCCCTCTCCTTCTACCTCTCTCCACTAAGGAAGCTTCCCACTCTACGCATTTCCAGTGTCTATCTACGGCCATGCCACATTACTTGTACATTATGCATAACTCATCTTTTCTACTTGATTTCTTATCCAGTTCGTGCAAAGTCATGTTATAAAATTCCAAGTGCTTAATCCAAGGCAAATCCAAGATTGAACTTCCAAAATTTGCATCAAATAGACATGCTAACTGAGCATTCTGTAAATAACAAATCCATAATTTACATGAAATCAAGGAAAAAATTTTTACCTATGGCTGACTTTGTATCGCTTCTAAACTTTGGGTGGTTAATCAAATTGCTGAAGAGATTTTGCTTAACATACTCCGCTACTCGAACACCCCCATGACCTATATAATAAGATCAAAAAATATGTAAGATAGTGTGAAATACTACAAAAACAAAACTCATTGTTTGTGAGAATGATGTAAAATAAGAAAAATTCAAAATCTGTAAGTTGCAGTCAGAAAGAATATATCGATGCAAAACGTGTTTTATTTGTACAAATTTTTGCACAAATTATAATGCACAATCTAAAAGTTTGAAGTTCTGCAATTAGAAACAGAAACACATACCACCATTGTTCTGACAGGTTTTAGTATTGCTCGGATAGCTCAATGCAACTGGCATCAATTATCTTAATTGCACATCAAATTAAGAACAAAATTCACAATAAAAAAAATAAATTTAAAGATTGAAACTTTGCAGTGAGAAACAAGTGAATTAGAGAATGTGGTTTGGGGAACAAACTGGCTGCAAGTCCTCCCTCTTGAGCCAGAGATTAACCCCGAGCCTCTCCGACAGCTGCTCATCACCCACAGCTACACCTTCTGAGCGGAAACACTCCGATCCATCCCCAAAACCTCACACCCCCAGATCCTCTCGTCGTCTTCAACCTCTCTACTGACCACCAACACCGACATCACCAAATGCTTGAAATCGGGAACAGCCCCAGTAGGCATCCGGGAGCAGCGGGTTCCTCGGCAGCGAGTCGCCGTGTGGCAGCGAGTTGGAGCGGTGGAGCGGGGGCGAGCGGAGGAAGCAGGCGAAGAAGTCGGCGAGGTCGAGGCCGCAGAGCGAGATCTGGTGGTCGCCGACGAAGAAGACAGGGTTCCCGGCCAGAGAGGGGAGGGAGGGAATGTAGCAGCGGTGGAAGACGGGGATGAGGAGGGGGGCCCGCCTGAGGGGGGAGCGGGCGT